CACTCATGTCATCTGAGGTATGAGAGAGAGAAATGAGAGTTAACAAAACCAAATGATACAAACTTTAGAGTAAACATCAAATCAAAATTGACTATTATATATGCTTCTGCTTTTATTGTTCATGATTTATCCAAACACTGCAAAAACAAGCACAAAGCACTAAATTTGGTTAGATTTGTGCTTAAAACAAAACAAAACTATTTGTGAGGTACTAAAAATAAATTTGATTTAAGATATATTGAAAAATCATACATATATATATATATATATATATATATATATATATAGCTTTTTAATTCAAAATATATGACAGCATATGTACATATTTAAGTGAGAAGACGAAGAAGAATGCAGCTATTTTTTTGTTAAAGGATCAGGACCATATTCTCACGAGGAGCACTTCGGCTCGTGGTTATTTTTTATGAAATTATTGCCAAGACGCAAGAGAGAAGTTCATTTTCCTCATTCGAACTCTATTTATAGAGACTGAAGAACACTGCCTAGAGGTTTTGTACAAATATTAATATCAATAATGATGATTATGATTTTAAAAAAGGCTGGGCTGAAAGTTATACTCGTGAACTTAGCTTTTTTTTCTTTTGGAAATCATATAGTATTTTAGTAAAAAAAAAATGCGTATGTTTTATTTATTGTTTTAACGGTTGTGAGTATAGATAAAGAGAAGAGAATAGAATATACCAGAAATTCTACTTGAAAAGTTCTAAAAATGAATTTAAGAGAATATTAATATTAATGATAATAATAATAAACATGTCAGTGTAAATGCCATGGTTTTAGCAATAAAATCTGTTAAACTTGGACTGAAGGATCTGAGGAATATGTCTTCCGTCAGATACTCTTGGTTTCTTAAGATTAAGAACGCTGAATGATGCATATGTTGCAGAATGAATGCAGATGCGTGCATGCTGAACATTTTGTGCTGCTTCTAAATGAGATCTAGGCCCTTCTGCGTGCTTTTGGTGTGGAAATACTCTACAGGGAGCGCTTGGAAACGTCGTGCGTAAAAGCGCGCCGATGTTAACACAGCGCTAAAATATGATTCAGCCATTTTCAAACACTGTCATTGGTGAAATAGAGCAGGGAGAGCCAGCAGCTCCTGGCGTACTGCTTCTGGAAAGGGAAGGGGAAGGGGGAAAAAAAGTCTGAGAGACAGAAATCTGAGCCCGATTCTTGTCCAAAAGTCTCGGCGTGAGAAACACTGCAACCCTCTACAATGCCTGTGAACTGATGCTGACGGTACCAGACTGTTAATTAGTCAGCAAACATGCTGTCTGCGAGTGCGAGAGATGCGAGACTCGTAAAAACGTGACTTCACAGTCCGCAGACGCGCGTCAATCGCGCCTGTCATTACGCGGATCGCGGCGGAGCGAATGCGCATGTGTGTGCGTGTTATTGCCGAGGTTATTGTGACAGATACACACTGCCGGTGCTGTGTTTTGGCGCAGGGTGGGGGCAGTTGTCAGCTCTGTTTCTTGATGATGTCTAGAGCTTTTTGGAGGAGGCTGAGAGTGAGTGTGTGTGTGTGTGTGTGTGTGTGTGTGTGTGACGCGCCGGCGCCACTCGGCCGCGCACTCTGGCGAGCGCAGAATAGATTGAACAGTAACCCTTTCAGCCTGTGTGTGTGAAAGCCAATCCCCGACAAACTAGCCCTCAAAACACACAGCCGTCAGACTGGCGGAGCACTTCAGCCTTCTGTGAGGGGGGGTGTATTCATCATTAAAAATATGACCCAAGCTGGAGTGAATCAGGGAGTTCTTTGAGACCAAAGTTAAACACAATGTTTTCTGTCCTTGGCAGAGGCCAGTGAGATACCAAATGTAGTAAATGCTCCAAGTTGCAGTGTGAATGGAGACTGTGCTCGGAAAACAAAAGCAAAACAGCTCACTTATCGGGATGTATACTCGTGAACTTAGCTTTTTTTTCTTTTGGAAATCATATAGTATTTTAGTAAAAAAAAAATGCGTATGTTTTATTTATTGTTTTAACGGTTGTGAGTATAGATAAAGAGAAGAGAATAGAATATACCAGAAATTCTACTTGAAAAGTTCTAAAAATGAATTTAAGAGAATATTAATATTAATAATAATAATAAACATGTCCGTGTAAATGCCATGGTTTTAGCAATAAAATCTGTTAAACTTGGACCGAAGGATCCGAGAAATATGTCCTATGTCAGATGTTCTTGGTTTCTTTAGGTTAAGAACGCTGAATGATGCCTGTGTTGCAGAATGAATGCAGATGCGTGCGTGCTGAACATGTTGTGCTCTTTCTGAATGAGATCTAGGCCCTTCTGCGTGCTTATGCTGTGCAAATACTCTACGGGGAGCGCTTGGAAACGTCGTGCGTAAAAGCGCGCCGATGTTAACACAGCGCTAAAATATGATGCAGCCATTTTCAAACACTGTCATTGGTGAAATAGAGCAGGGAGAGCCAGCAGTTCCTGGCGTACTGCTTCTGGAAAGGTGTGTGTGTGTGTGTGTGTGTGTGACGCGCCGGCGCCACTCGGCCGCGCACTCTGGCGAGCGCAGAATAGATTGAACAGTAACCCTTTCAGCCTGTGTGTGTGAAAGCCAATCCCCGACAAACTAGCCCTCAAAACACACAGCCGTCAGACTGGCGGAGCACTTCAGCCTTCTGTGAGCGGGGGTGTATTCATCATTAAAAATATTACCCAAGCTGGAGTGAATCAGGGAGTTCTTTGAGACCAAAGTTAAACACAATGTTTTCTGTCCTTGGCAGAGGCCAATGAGATACCAAATGTAGTAAACGCTCCAATTTGCAGTGTGCATGGAGACTGTGCTCGGAAAACAAAAGCAAAACAGCTCACTTATCGGGATGAATTAGAGCTCTGAGAGGGAAACCGATGAAGAAGTTTAATAATCGATCATCTGCAGTGGTTGCAGGCCTCGTGTAGTATAGCTTTTGATGTGATTTGTCTTGTGTTTTGCTGCAGTTTGTGTGTGTGTGTGTGTGTGTGTGTGTATGGGAGACGCTTCCATTAGTCTTGTGGGTAACATTCATACTGTGCCTGGTGGACCACCAACAGTTGCCTTGACACACAACTCATGATGTGTGTGTGTGTGTGTGTGTGTGTGTGTAACCCTTTCAGCCTGTGTGTGTGAAAGCCAATCCCCGACAAACTAGCCCTCAAAACACACAGCCGTCAGACTGGCGGAGCACTTCAGCCTTCTGTGAGGGGGGGTGTATTCATCATTAAAAATATGACCCAAGCTGGAGTGAATCAGGGAGTTCTTTGAGACCAAAGTTAAACACAATGTTTTCTGTCCTTGGCAGAGGCCAATGAGATACCAAATGTAGTAAACGCTCCAATTTGCAGTGTGCATGGAGACTGTGCTCGGAAAACAAAAGCAAAACAGCTCACTTATCGGGATGAATTAGAGCTCTGAGAGGGAAACCGATGAAGAAGTTTAATAATCGATCATCTGCAGTGGTTGCAGGCCTCGTGTAGTATAGCTTTTGATGTGATTTGTCTTGTGTTTTGCTGCAGTTTGTGTGTGTGTGTGTGTGTGTGTGTATGGGAGACGCTTCCATTAGTCTTGTGGGTAACATTCATACTGTGCCTGGTGGACCACCAACAGTTGCCTTGACACACAACTCATGATGTGTGGTTGTGTGTGTGTGTGTGTGTGTGTGTGTGTGTGCGGTTACTACAGTCTGTGTGACTCAAAGTTTATGCATGTGTTTTGAGTCCCCAATCCCAAAATCTGCTTCTGTTTAATCGTTGCTCGTGAGTTCAAGTGATATTCGTCATTATTTGCTTTTAATAAAACAGCCATCTGATGCAGTGCTGAGGATGTTGCGCGCGTCACATGATGCAATGCAGCTATCTTTCTTTCCATATCCATCCAAGAGAGATCGTACAAAGGTAAGATGTCGATCATCTTTTGAAAATGAACCTATCAAAGTGAATATGGACATGGTAAGAGCATACAAATGTGAACATGCATACTTTTTACAGTAGGAGTCACTCTGAAAAATGTCGTTGCATTAGAGGCAAAACAACAAAGCAAGTGTCATTTATTGCAAATCAAAGATGCACAAACACTTCACAAGCAAACGTTGGCAAAAAGAAGTTTGAAATGCTAAGATGTAATGTGATTCTCTATGCACTCTCGGAAAAAAAGGTACAAAAGTTGGTGTGGTGCCTTTTTTAAAGGTTACTAATATGTACCATTTATGTACTAATATGAACACTGTAGGTACAAGTATGTACATTTAAGGTACTAAAATGCACTCTTGATGGGTAAATAAGGTACAAAGGTGTACTTTTTGAAAAGGTACTGCCCTACTGACAGCTTTTGGACCTTTTGTTCTAAGAGTGACACCTGCATGAACCGAGTACAGATTTCATGTAGCCACTAAAAATCACCCAAACACTAGCTGATTCAAACAGTGGATGGACTGGGCTGCAGGATATCAGGTGTTTCAGCTACAGGTGAAACTCTGTCAAAGCTTTATTCCCTTGCCTTGTAGATTGACGAAGCACTGAAGTACTTACTCAGGCCACATTAAACAGTTTAGAGTAAATGCTGTTCAGACTGACGGTGATGCTCTCAGATCTCTCAGAGCTTTCCGTGTTTGTTCGGGCTTTAATGAGGACTGATCCGTCAAGAGGAC